GTGGACCTCGTCAACCTGATCGTCGTATAAAAGCCAAACGGCCGCAGTACAACCGGATTTATCCGTCCTCCTTTGATAAAATCGACCTACGAATCTCTTCTTTATACACCTTCATACGAAATGAAAGTTCCCTCAACGATTTCTTTTATTTCTTATCAAGGCTAAAGTTTGCAACGATTCTAAATGTATGCTTGATTCCTGTCTGGATCCATATCTTTGTGAGGTTCTTTGCAATCGAATTCCTTGTTTGGCTTGTTACTTATTTAGCATAATCTTTTCCCTTTCCTCCGTACCTCTGCTATTATGACCATATTTATAGGTTTTATTGTCTGGACGGATATTACTCCTAGCTAGTTTTTATCTTTATTGGTATTTTGGTGAAGTTGAGAGTGGGAAAAATTATCGTTTGGTGAAACTTATATTACTACATTTATAATACAAATATAGTCCTTATAACTAGTACGCGCTATTCAAAATTAAATAAAGAAGTTCTTTATAATCAAAATGAAGCTCTAAATGCCTTTTGTTTAGTTTTTTCATGACATAATTGCCCAAATTCATTTAGATATAATAAACTTCATAAAATAATTTTTAAAGCTTCGTCTTTCATTTTGATTTGATCACGGATTCTCCACTATGTATTACAATATAATTTAGCCTAATTACTAACAAAACATAGAAAAAATATCATGTTTTATGATTAACTTGATATCGCTTCACGTAAATCACACCAGAGAAGCACTTGAATCTGTGCATGCTGATTTTCTCGAGCGTCGGTACCGATGGTCAGCTATTGAGCAACTTTTAGGTCGACCCCGCCTCATTCCTACACCGGGACTTGCTATTTTGCGAGCCTATCTCCAGCCTTACTACTTGCACAACTTTACCGCTGCTGCAGCTAACTCTACGCCGCTATCTAGCCCGCAGACAGCCGGCAATGAGTCAACCGATTCTGGTGTCTGCGTAGGTTCTAACGTCATTGGTGCTCCGACTTCCAAATTATGCCTAACTTCGGTTGCAGGG